CTAGGACATGAAAAGGTGTTTCCCTTATATTTAATTGGCAAAAACGGCCATAAGAACTGCAAAACACAAAATTTTAAGCCGCAATTTTGCAAGTATCTCCGCATAGACACAAAAAAAAACCTTCATGCCATGTTCTTGGTAGGGGAGTTTAAAGGTGCGTTTGAACAAGAGAGATGAATTACAGCGGCTCTGCAGCAGAGAAGAGGTCCAGAGGCAGAGAAGGCAAAACTGTGACGTATAACATATATATATATATATATCGCAGTCTCAGGTATATCGAGAACTCGCAATCGTAGATCTTCATTAACTCGAGTCGTAATTGAAAACGTTTTACTATATAATGATATAATACCAACCATGGTGAAAATTAAATATTCAAATTAAAAGCCTGAATACATATGTTTATTGCAAAATAACATTGAACATTAAGCTTAAATTAATAAAAGAGCTTTAATACATTTCTAATTCGCTACCTTCCTTTCTACTGTTGTTGGTAGTGCAGCATTTCTCAGCCTACACCTTCAACTTTAAACGTTATATAAACAATTATCAGTTACATTTGTTGTTGCGATATACCTTTTGATTCTTTACCTCTGTTGTTACGTTGTTCCTTTAGATATGTAAAACATGTCATTACTCGTCTGACTTGATATCATCAGGAGGAAATTGGGCGATTTTACTGACTTAGTTTTTTTCTTCCCATTAAGTGATGGCCAAAGCTATATTGTATGCAGGCATACTTGTGATTTCTACCCCCTAATTTAATATAAGATTTTTACTAATTTTCATATATGTAGGTTTATGTAGTTAGGACACAGAACGTATATCACGAAAGACTAAGTTCTTTTGTGGTATTCTCAGATTAACAGATTTCATCGCAAGTATCAGATAGGTCTGATTTATATTAGTATATTTCAGCAAGATAATCACAGATTAAATCTGAATTTTACTAAATGACTGAGATTTAATCTAAGAAAATAAACAGACTACTTCAAAGCAAAAAATGTTAATAAAACTGTGTGCAAATTTATGGCCAGCTTATGTTATCACACATTCCACTTCATCCTGCAACTGCTATAATATTGTCCCTATTACGCTATAACAGACATCGGTGTTCAACAAGAACTCACAATCCTTTCATGGCATAACATAACATTAAAGGACAAACATGGTACTTTAATTTAGACTACCCTAGGCCATCCTATCCACTAAGTTAAACTAAACACAAATAACAATCCAAAGCCAGCTCTTATTCAAATACTTGTCAAACTTTCCCTTAAATTAACTGCATCTACTACATCTGAAGGAAACCTGTGCCAAATGTCAACCACCCTGTTAGAAAAATATAGCTGTCTTAGCTGAAGACATTTCATTCCCTGTCATGGATAGTCCAGCACTAGAACTTTCACTAAAGCACACTTTACGGACAGGAATGATTGCTCAGTCCATCTAAAACGTACATTGGCTTTTGTGAGACTAGATAAGTGTGTGGTAGTTTAGACGAAATTGGCCACAAAACGTCAATAATGAGATGCAGAACCAGGTAGACTGTGGAGTTTAGTCACGGGTTGAGGCCAGTCCTGTACCATTATAATCACTGCAGGCTAGGTACAGACTCTTTTTTATGTAACTGCAATAAATAATTTCGGAGATATTGGAAATAAATACTCTTCATTGATTTTTAACTACACTGTATTGTTTGTTTGTTTGTAATTAAGCACAAAGCTACACAATGGGCTATCTGTGCTCTGCCCTCCACGGGTATCGAAACCCGGTTTCTAGCGTTGTAAGTCCGCAGATATACCTCTGCGCCACTGGGGGGCACACTGTATTGTTAATCATTTTCAAAGGCCAGATAAAATAATACTGGATAAATAATTGACTTCCTTTGTTAGTGTATAATGTTTTCTAATAAATCTGCACAACTCGACTAGCATGTTAGAAAGATAAAATGAATCCAAAACCTGAAATTTGAATTAGAAGATACTTAGTTTTAACAATGTTATGGTGCGAACGCCTTTTGGTTTGAAGCGTGATCATAATATATTATATTTCTCATAAGACAATATTGTTGCGTCATCGAGATCACGTGACAATTCTCACGCTCTCTTGTTTCTAGAACTATCCCGTATCTTGGCGAATGGTCTAGTAATTGCTAGATAGGGTAGGCTGGTATATAAAAGAGGGGAATGTAATGTGTGTGTGGACAGTGAGTAATTGAACTGCAGTCACAGGGTATTGTTGAAGTTAACGTTCGTTCGCTCGTGATACT